AAATATTATTCAATCAATCATAGGCTTTCAAACGAATGTGAAAATTTGCCAATTCAATAAAAGTAAATAGATCAAAACGCTACACCGTTATGTTGCACATCTCGTCTCACTCACTCACTGTCATGAAGATCTATTTCTTAGAGTGCCATGGATTCACCGCTCGGGTGTCGGGTCCTTCGCGTAATAGATGGGAGCAACACATAGGATTTCGACAGAGCCTGGGATTTGCTACCCAGGAGTACTCCTTGCGGACGCGTCAGCGCGTAAGTATTCTGGCTAAATTTATGTATTTATAAAAACTGTTGTCCATGGTAATGTTTAAGTGAGTCTTCTAGCCTGGAGGAGGTACTAGAGCTTAGTTTGAGATGCGCTCTTAAAACAATCTAATCGCAGCAGTTATGTATGTGGCCTCGAGACGGCTTGGTGTAGGTTGCCACTAGCTAGAGTTGTTAAGGATCATGTTTATGGTTCAGAGTGCGAGTGTGTGAAATTCCGCCGTATCGTTTCGAGAACGATACGAAAACGAGAATTCGAGAGGAGGAGCACTTTCCTGAATCGTAGACAGTAGACACATAAGGCGCCAGAGAGCGCAGAATGATTTCTAACCTCCATGAGCGATGGATTAGGTTTAAGGTTTCATTATTTAAATACAAAAGTAAACAATATCTGATCGCCTGTTACCTATATTACTACTTTAATATATTTTTTTAAATCTCTCATTTATAAGGACTCGCTCGATCTAAAAGTATTAACCTGTGGACTTAGGTTTAATATATTTCTTGTCTAGTAGTTTTATGTATAATGTATCATTTTATTAATGGGGAATGACGAATTGAAATCGTTTACTTATTATTCAATAAATGTGCATATAGTGTGTGCATGTGCTGTTTTTGTATGTGCTAGGCATGTTAATGTAGCGAGCTTGGATTAACCTGATTTTCTCACTACGAAAGATTTTAAGTACGACTTACCTCGATGGATGTAGTCATAAGCCAACATGTCGGCAGCCGCTGTACATGAGTCACAAGAATCACTAGCAGCCGCAATATATTGTAAAGGGGACCACAACACTAGATCACTTTCACTTACTTGCGGACTTGAACTTCGATGGTCCATTTCATAATCAAATATACATTGGTTTAGATTAGAACTTATCAAAGGATCTAGATCAAACTCATTGGTTCTGTTTTGGAAATTATCCATGATGTATTAACATAAATTATGATCACTTTTTCGACATGACAGTTTTACAAGCACACGTGAACTACCATTTTTATTAATTACATCGCAGACTTAAATCAACGCGCAACGTGGAAGTAAGGAATTTACAGATACCCTCAACTTACAATTTATACATGCACGCTTTTAGTGTAGTTTAAGATTTGATTTAAAATAAAGTACGATTACCTTAATTCAGAAGGTATTAACAATTAAAATGTCGAAATATTAAAATTTATTATGAACAACAAAATAAATCTGCATATTTTTTACTGTCTTTGCAGTACATTCTTACAGTAAGACCGTAAGATATAATACATGTATGTTTAAAAATAAATATATATAACGCTCCACATTATATGTGTTCAATCAAACAAAGATCAAAACTATCTAACTATAATATTACGTAACATGTTTGTTTTACAACTTCATCACAAATTTGTGCAACGCCTAACTTAGACTTAAAAATCTGTACTATATATCCTTTAATTCTATACTTGAGTGGAGATTTCAAACTTAAACATCATTCTAAAATAAGATGTTACTTACGCGAGTAGGGATCGGTTAATCTTGTTTTAAATGTCGTTCAATTATAAAAACTCTACTTAAAATGAGTTTTTAAGATTAAGATTAGATTTACGACTGAGACACCGAGTCGAGTCGAGTCGACCAATTGGGCGATCCAGAGAAATAGTGAGGTAGGTGCACTTATAGGAAGATTATAAAATTGGTAGAGGAGAATTAAAATATGTGTGCTGTCCATAAAAATTTGTATATTGCAGAGGTATATGACTCCTGTCAGGTCGTTTTCTAATACAAAGCCTCACTTTGCGAGACATCAATGCTTATCACATCAAGCTCCGAAATTTGTTGAATCCAGTTGAATTTGAATAATTTATAGAAATAATATACATACAAGAAGATGACATAATTAGGAACTTTATAATAATTTTAGACAAAAGCTCACTATTCAACAGCATTTGGCTCATAATTAACAAAGCATCTAAACTTCTGGGGTTTGTAATAGAAAATGCTAAAGTTTTTCGTAAGCCTCTAACAAAGATATTTTTGTTCAGCACTTTGCTTTATAGCATATATTGAATAGGTACTGTCCCGCCGTTTGGAGACCGCATTCATTCATTGAGATTCAAAATAATTCAGAAGCGTTTCATATGGCATTTGGCATTCACTGTGGGAATCTCCAAACTAATAAAAAGTATGAAGAAAGACTATCATTTTTCAAGGTACTATCGCTTGAAAAGAGAAGAACACGTCTAGATCTGAACTTTTACAAATTATTGCACAACCATTTGGATTGCTCTGTACTGCTTGAAAGGTTTAGCGCTCTCAAGTGACTTTCCCGTAATCCAATGATAATGGTGATGCGTCCATTTCGAGGCACAGTTTTAGAATATAATTCCTAGATTGTGTAGAGGTGTGAATAAAAAAGTTCACCAACTCGTGACGTTTTTGAGGTCAAATATCATAAATTTCGCAAATTATTCGAAACCTTCCCAAGTTCACTTGACCTAAATAAAGACACCTATAATATTTTTCTTTAAATTTAATTTTTAACTTTCATTTTATTAAACATACTTGGATTATTATGTGCAAAAAAATGTTGCATAGCAACTCTAAAATATATACTAAAATTATAAATAAACTATGCACATAATTGTTAATAAAATAATTATTATCACTGTGATTGAACTATTTAAACTTTTATTTTTTATCTTAATCTTTTATAATTTCAGAGATGATATTGTTATGCATGCTATATTCGCTGTTATTGGTTTTGAAATTAGTTTAAAGCCCTTAATTTTGTGCCTTTTGAAATTAAATATCTTTATTTAAATAAAAATAAATAAAAGGTTTTAAGGAGAGAAAATCTTACAAGTTGCGATTAAAATAATAACACACAGAGTAAATAAAACACATGTTCCTAGCTGTCATTTTTTTTTACAGATTTGACGTAAATACAAAACAAAGGCACGTTAGGATTAACTTTGGTATGCCTTCAAGTTGATTATGGCTGTATGGATATGGAGCTATACCTGCTCAAAATTACGTTCGAAGAAAGCCATTTTTTTTATTATACTTTCAAGCAACCGCTTTTTTATCCGGTTGTATCGTTATCCCCCCTCCCCCCACCCCATATTACGGCCCCAGTCCAATTGGGTTCAATTCCTCTCTCAAGAGCTCTGTACCACTCGAAGGCCCAGAGACTGGTATTTTAACTAACCTTATGTCTCTGATAGCAAATAGAAAGTATGTCACATATGAAGTAACGAGTGCCTTTAAACCTCCTTTATATATATATAGACCTACCGAAAAATCCATTCTCAGCCAATGTGTTTTAGTCATTAATTTAATATCCTTTCAAATGTCAGGACTCTTAGAGTATAAGAAAAAAAATTGAAAAAATTTGCGAGTGTTCTTAGAGCTTAATTCTACTATCATAAAATCTATTTCAAGCTGACGTGTAAAATTAAGATGCGTCATATAATGTGAACAAAGCCCTAAGACCTCAGACCGGATTAAAAGATCTAGCCGCTAAACTCGTTCTTCTGACGTCTCCTAGTTACGCTAACTGTTTCCTAGATTTCATGATTATTCAGCAGATGGATGAGTTAGTATTATTTATAATAAGTAGGAAGATAAAATAATTACACGCTGTTTTGGGAAACAACATTATTTTATTTATCTTATCTTAAACCACTTACATTTTAAACGTTAACATTGTTTTAAATAACGTTTTATACACATTTTTCCGGTCTCATTTAATAAGGTGTTGAAGAACAGGAAGAACTTAATTTACCCTATCCAATTTTGGGAATCTCAAAATGAGACGCTACGCTGTTCCATAGCTTGTACATCGTTTTATAGTAATATCCTGGTGGTTCCCCAGCTGGTTAATTCATTCGTCTGTTTCGAAATAATTACTATAAACAGACCTTTATATAAGTTTGTAAATTATGCATAACCTTATGGGTATAAATACCCATATATGACACTAATAAAAGCGTGTTATCCTTAACAGCTTTTACAAAGATAGCTAGGTTACAATTTTTTGGGAGTTAAGAAGATTTTTAATCTCCTAATCATCTTAACATTAAGGTAATAGGTACATATATTAATTATATTTATATTCATCACAGATCTTCATTGCAATCCACGCAACCATAGATATAAAATATTTATTTCTAGAAGTTCATGTATTACATATAAATGATAATCTTAAAAAAAACTGCTCCAGTAAATTCAAAATTGATCTTACTTTTGGGGGGGGGGGGGGGGGGGGCAGCGGGCTTATGATAAAGAATGTGTTTCATATCAATATTGTCTGCATTGCTGCAAAAGACAAACCTTTTTTAATTGCACTCTAGTCAAGAATCTTTGTACGAGTAACTTAACTTTTAACTTAGAAGTGAACTTAAATTTATGGACGTGCTTATAATACTCGTAAATATGAAAACTTATCAAGCACGTAATAATATTCGGAGGTTTGATTAATTAAAATATTTTTAGAAGAATTCTGTCGGGATAGGTTTTATTTACACATTTAAAAAACAGAACTTTTAAAATTTCGACACCCGCACAAGGTCTGCCTCGGTTGGATCTAGCTCTTTTTTGTATCAAATGAAGTTTCATTAAAGTACATGTATTAAATGTGTGATACGTGTTCATGAGGAAGTTTAGGCTAACCTATCTTATCACATGTCGCTTACTGCGGTTATGAGGGGTGAGTTACAGGGCACAGGAAAACTCAGTTTATCGTTTTACTATAATTTTGAAGTATCTCCTTCAAACGTTAGATTAGTGGCGCCTTTTAGCTCATGCATTCTTGATTTTTCAATCCTCTGTAAGTAAAGAAATTGAAGTAAATGAGTAAATTTTCGTTGACTTTTTCCAAGAGATTATCATCTGTTTAGTCGATGTCAAAGAGACAATAGGAAAAAGGTACGAGAGACAATCAACTTAGCGTTCAACAACAAGTAGCCCATTTGTGTCGATTCTTAGGATACAATCGAGCCTATTTTCCGGAATAGGACTTATTAACAGACACCAGTGAGTATTTTAATATAAATAATATTTGAGTAATAGGCATAGATTAGTAAAGAGGATATACAGTTCAAAAATAAATAGTTTCCGGCCTTCGATTTCCGGCCGTTTTATGTGTGTAATAAATATAAAATAATTATTCATTCCAGTGGGCGAAGAAAAGGAGTCTGGGTACCCGACACCTGTATTGCTAAGTATTTTTATCGTTGCATATTTAAGACATATTTAATTTGTTTTAATACATATTTATACAACTTAGCCTGGAAACCAAATTTTAAAAATCAAATAGAATGTATACAAACCTTGGAACGGTAAACTTTATTGTTTAGTTTTTTTCTGCCAGTGAAATGATTTTCTATGTCATTCAGTTTCTTCCCTTCTGTTTCAGGTAAGATGAAATAAAATACAATGCATCCAATGAAACTAAAAAAAAAAAGGTTTAATGAAAAACATGTAACAATATCTGATGAACTTGGTTGTAGTTTAGCAAATATCAATTTTATCTGCCAAATAAAGCGGCGTTAGCCTAGTGGTTAAGGCGTTGGACTTGCGATCAATAGGTCGTGGGTTCAAATCCTGACCATTACACTACCGACGTGAACCCACTTCTAACACAAGCAGTTTAGCTTAGCGGGAGGGGTTAACGGGAATACTAGTAATTTCGGTTGTTAGTAGACCTTATATAAAAAAAACCACAGGTTCCACTCCGGGAGTGCCGGCAGAAGTGAAAACTTGAATATAAACGTTGTGCATTTTTGATATTTTGGAATGGTTAGGGAATAATTTTGCACGAGTTGCTTTAATTATCAGTATAAAAGTACTATCATTTATGTGGTAGAATACAATATTTATTTATTGCACTATCGTACACAAACATGACAATTTATCGAGACGCTGTCACCATCCATGGATGCGGCGCTGTAACATAAACACACACGAACATTCGCGCAAGCGCCCTGCGACGCCTAAACGAAACAGCAGGCGCAGGCATACATTTTCGCCGCGCCGTAGAAAGAGAGGGGGATACTTCCTCTCCTACGTCGCGCCGGCTATCTACTACGAATTTTCGATCAGGGCCACGTGTCCTGACGCGAGTTTAACATTTTTTACCCATTACAAAAAAAGTGTACAACGCCGCTAAAGAAGTTTTCACTTCAAAAAGCACAGATTTGTTTACACAAGTCAGTTAGTTTATTATTTTTAGTAAGTTTATTAGTAACAAGTGAAGCTATTACAAATGTGTTAAAAACGTACTTTTCAAGTTTTGTTTAGGGCACTAAACATCCAAACATAGACGTTTTAAATGCATACCATGCATTAAATGCAAATAACATTAGATAGAAGTGTTAATAATAAATAATTATTTTACCTTACAATGCCATATAAGCCGTAAGTACCCCATATGGATAGGGTATCCACCATGTTGATGTACATTTTATTTGTCAGAAAACCAAAAACGTATCCTACAGCGCTTGCGAAACCAGCTCCAGCCGTCCTCGTTTTTGCACTAAACACCTATAAAAAGTCACACATTAGTATTTAAAGGTGCTATGCCGAATCGTGACTAAAATTGTTTCGTTTAGTTATTTTTGTTGTGTTTCTTTTAGCTAATATTCAACACACACTCTTGCCTCACGGATGCCTTGGTAGATACCAAATGTCTTATCGAATACCTTTAAACGAGATATATATATATATATATAAATAAATAAATAAATAAAATAAAATAAAAATAAAAAACCTTTTATTACATGCAAAATTATGACACGTACATTTTTTAAAGAAAAAAGAATAAAAAAGAACAGGAAAAAAAATAGTGATGGTTATTTACTATCACTATTTCACTTATTTATGAAAATATTTTATGTATAAGTAATAATATAGAAGTTTGTTTGCATGGACCCCTTCTCAAGTGAAGGTGAAGGCCTCCTCTAAAGAATTCCATGTGTCTCTATCTTGAGCTATTTTGTGGCCAGCAGGTACCCGCTATTTTTATCAATTCGTCTGCCCATCTCGTTTGAGGTCTGCCTTGAGGCGTTTGCCGGTTGGACCCTTCCATGTTGTTACCCTGTTGGTCCATCTCTCGTCCTTTAGCCTCGCTACGTGCCCAGCCCATTTCCATTTTAGTTTCTTAGCGTAGGTTAGAGCATCGGTCGCTTTGGTGGTTTCTCTCATTTTTATGTGACGAATTTTTTGCATCTTCTTAACATTGAGCATACTTCGTTCTATTCCGCGTTAGCAAGTAGTGATTTTGCTTTTTAATTTGAATATAAATTTCCAAGTTTGACATGTGTAGGTTGGACAAGGTAGGAGGCATGATATCATGACTTTTGTTTTGATATTTGTTGGCGTGTTACTTTTGAATATCTCTTTTAAGGACCAGTACTTGTTCCAAGTATTTTTTACTCTTCGTTCTACTTCTAGTTCATTTTGTTTTCTTTTGAAGCCAATTTGTTTTCCAAGGTAGATGTATTTCTCTGTATATTTCAGAGTCTCATTGTCCACTGATATTCTTCTCTGTATACTATTTGTCATGACCATTGTTTTCGAAAGATGCATTTCTAGTCTTATCTGCTGCTATTTATATATGTATATAAAAAAAATATCGAGAAATAAAAGCTTGGTCATCCAGGTACTCATGATAAACTATTTTTTCGCCTTTTACGCTAATTTGGTGTCATATACCGATGGTGACAACAGTATGGGATTAGTTATTATAAGCATACCGGGTATTGTTTGTCGTAGGTATCTATATTTTCGATATATTTTATCTTTACATTGTTCCTATGCGAACAGATAAATAAGACATAGGTACATATATTATAGTTTGTAGCTCCGTTGGTAGAAAGAACCTAATAAAGAAAACACTCGAACTTTAAAACGAAAAAGTAATTTGTTACATCAGTCATAATATTTACCTCTCCTATTAATATCCATGGAAGTAATCTTAGACCAGTATGTGAGATGAGAGCCAAGAGCATGAGTAGTGTTATGGGCATCCAGGAATATGGGTTCTGCTGAAAAAATAAAGTGAATGATATAAAACTGCTTTACGAAATATAAGTGCAGGTCACTTCCAACCAGTCTCCTTGGAGGAAGGCCTTTGTCCAACAGTGGAAGTCCTATGGCTAAAATGATGATGACGATGTTGAACGTCATGTTTATTTTTCGAATACTTTTATACAAAAAGTTATCGGAACGACTGAGAATTTGGTCACAACTAGTATAAATAAATAAAAGTTAGCTAGTTAGCATAGCTTAAACTATAAAATAAATTTCTATTTTGAATTCCGAACTTACTTTAAAAGAAAATGTATTTTTTATAATAGGCGCATGGTACCAAAAAAAAATATATATCTACTTTTATCCTTAAAATCATAATACAGAAATTAAAACGTCATGTTTGAGGCTAGGCGAAAAAATATTTATTTTTAAAGGCTTATCCTATTTCTTACGTTTAGGTTAAGCTCTAAAAGTATAGGAGGATCCGCTTCGCTTTTTAGAAAGTGTGTTTTAAAATATATTTAATATGTGTGTAATAAAGAAAGATAATAATAATATTTTTTATTGTATGAATAAGATTGGAAGGCTTACACCATGGTTATATTTAAGATTAGTTTCTATTACAATTTCAAATAAGAAGAATAAATTTTATTAATTTCTAAGGAGAGGCCTATGTCCAGCAGTGGACTATTATAGGCTGTTGATGATGATGATTATGAATAATATAATTAGGTACAATGCATTTCTTGATTTCCACAACTAATTATAGTAGTTAAAACGGTACAGTAGTGGAGTCTACAATAATATCTTAGTTGAGTGCTGTTCTCCCAGCAAGTCTACAGAATAGCCTGTGTTAGGGAAAAGACCTTGAGAGTCTTGAATTCTCAAAAAAGTGTAAATTACTGTGTAGCACGTGATTTTAACCTTATTTGAGGATGGGTGTATGTGGGTTAATGTCTAGTTTATGTATGTTGTGTGTGGTGATGTGAGTAGTGCATGTGTGTTTCTATGTGAGTGTGAGTAATGCATGAATATTATATATGTTTGTGCTGAGTGGTCTGTCTGGCGTATAAGCAACTGAAGAATGTTGTTAGGGTGTAAAATCTATGTGTGACGTCATTTAACCAAAAGTGTCTCAGTATCGTCGTAACATAATTTTTGTAAAAAAGCGAACAGTGTTTTTAACCGACTTCAAAAAAGGAGAAGGTTCTCAATTCGTCGGTCCATTAGTTCAGGCTATCACAACCAATGATATATAAACAATGTCATTGATCACAACGCGTAAATTAGCCATCGTATATGAGACCCGTCTGAAACTAAGTTCAGTCACCGGTTAATAATGAACTATCTCTTACCATTTGATCGTCAACAGATGGTGACGTGTCGTTCGGGCTTATTGATGTCAAATTTGTCTCTGACGATTGCGGTGCCTGAAAAACATATTATAAACAAAAGATACAATAAATTTGAAAGATGAAACCATAGCAGTAAATCTCAAATACGTAAGTAGTCATGTTAGACGTGACGACAGCAAAGTCAGTGATGTAGAAAATAATAAGACCGCTTTTGACGTACTGGTATAATTAAATCAAGGTAATGATTTAACCTAATTTTATCATAAGCTTTTGCGTCTCAATTACTCCAGGTCATTTCATATTTGCTATGTATTAGGCGGCAAATGGAGAAAAGAGTTTTTAGATATATTAAAAAAAAACTTCATTTATCTCCCTCAAAAAAATAAAGTCAATTAATCAACTTAGCACGTTCGTTGCGTTACCAGATACTTAAGAACTGGTACGTATGTACCTTGCATTCAGACAAATTTACCGCGGGTGCGGGAGCTGTATCTTAGGAACTATAAGGGCTAGAAAATAGAGACAAATATATTTTTGGGATTGTCTCATCAATTATAACTAGACTAATGTAAAAACTTATACCAAGTCGCTCAGACCTGGCTTCGATAGAACGTAATATTTTTTTACAAGTGCGGGTACCAGGTCTATTAGAACTACTCGTAGCACTGAAAGTTGGGTTTATTAGCAACAGTTATGCACCTGTAAGGAGTTGTGTTTTGAATAAGGTAGAAATATACCTGTAACTATATCGTGTTTTGACGAGGCGCGTTAGAAGCATAATTATCGATATTACATTGTATGTATGGTTATATATTTCTTTATTGCTCCCATACCGGACGCTCCAGTAATACAAATAATTGTAATTGTGATATACCACGTAGGTGGTGATGTTTCTGGAAGGGGAAATATTATCATTTGATACGGAGTGACGGATTAAGAATACGGAATGTCACCACCCCTATTCATCCCGTGGGTTTCGTAAGAGCCGACTAAGGGAGCAAATTATGCAGGACAACAGCACTGCTAAGAGAAGCTGCAAACCCTATACGGTTCGTCTGCCTAGCGTCGTATTGTACTCGTAGGCCAAAACCACCTTTCTAAGGAGCGGCCTATGTCCAGCAGTGGACTATTTAAGGCTGACAAAGAATCGCTATGATGATGAAGAATCGCTTCTTTAACATTCACAGCTCTTCATGCAAACTGTTGTTATGACTCAGATACAGACTATACACGGTGTAAGGGACATCGTACCGAATACTGGCATAGTGTACTCAGACCATGATTCCGAGTCGAAAATCATTGGAATTTTCTGCCGCAAAATTAAACTTTATATGCAATCTGCTGTCAAAGGTTAAGGTCATTCTCCGTAGGTATCGCACTAAAGTAATAACCACATGTGTATTCCTTGAAAACAGTCTACGCACACTAACACAAAACGGCGGCCGGAGTGGAGGTCCCGCGCGTTACGGCTGTTTGATTAATTACATTTCAGTTTTTTGGTATTTATTAAATTGTTTTCGGTAAAATGTTCTGTCTACTCATTGTGATATCATTTTGTGGTTTATTTTCCGGCAGAAAATTCCAATGATTTTCGACTCAGAATCATGGTCTCAATACACCATTTCAGTATTCGGTACGATGTCCGTTACACCTTGTATAGTCAGTATCAGCTTTATTTAGTACATCAATAAAAAATTGTAGTTCTATACGTTACCGGATTTTATCGACCAGGCAAAATTATCGGTTTTATATACGACAGCAGGGCTTAGAAAAGCAATTAATGTAGATTTTAGATTTTTTTCAAATTGGACCTGATTTAAGTAAAATATATAAATAATTTTGTTAAATTATATATATAAGTACACACCGTGGCAAAGGTACAAACAGGGTCTATACAATCTGGTAACGCATGAAGTGAAAGGTTGCTGTAGTGAACGTGTTAACCATAGCCATGAAAGTGGGAAGTGTTTTCTAACCGTTTTTATATAAATGTCAAAAGCAGCAACTAATATACAGCAGACGCCAGCTCCTCCAGTAGAGATAAAAGTCAGGGGTCGCTTCCCCGTATAATGGACGAGAAGGACACATGTCGTTGAACCTATAATCTGTAGCAGTCCTAGTATTAAAGTGGCGTAGTATTTGTCTATTGGTGTTTGCAGCATCTGGAAGATGGACACCGCGTAGGTCTGAAAAACAAAAGGTATTAATTAACTTGTACTCGTAAAAACATTTAATGTAGAGAATAGTGGTAAATACACATTAAAAAGGTAAAAGAGAAGTATCATTTGTTATCCTTATTAGCCCATATCTATAACTTTATAATGATTAATTTTTACTTTGAACAAAATTGAACGTCTTTTTTGATACATATATTATAATATGATTATTGCTTACTAATTCAAGGTTGCTTTGTATCTGAATTACTCAGGTACATCCCTTTATCTTTACATTGAATTTGTTAAGATTGCCTACGGAATAATGAAAATACCTATTTTTATAAAAAAGTTTAGAGTTGTCAAAATCTGGAATAGTGTAATTTTACATATATTTCCCACATTTCAATAACTAAATTACTTTAATTGTCTTTGCTAGAGTTCAATCGAGACCAACTTTAAAGTACGTAATTTGTAAAAAAATACTTTAAAAAGTACGACACATCGTTTTCCAAAACATGCGATTGTCGCATTCAAGCCAATATACATAATATTGTGTACAACTGTGTTAGGTACTATCTTGATAATATATCTTGGTAATTGCTTGCTTGCTTGAGCCATGTATGTCTCAGTCAAAAGTTTTTAAACAAGTATTCTAAGTAACCTGTTGACAGATCCTTTCAGTTCCGGTAAATTTGTTGATTAACAGTCTAGTCAATAATAAGAAGATCTTTTTGTGGGTACACAATGGGTACTTTACGAAGCTATTTTGAATAATACAGTATTATTCTTTACCCAGTACTATTAATTGCCAAACAAATACGTTAGATACTTGTGCATTTAATTGAGATCAAAATGCTTTTTACAGTAAGTGAATATCTTAGTAGATATCAGAGATTTATAATGCGGGGGCAAAGCGACCCTCGCCGCATTACTTTCAATCCACCTAGTGAAGCTTTAAAAACTCTCTACATCATGAGCTGCAGCAAATAAATTCACCATTTTTGTTCATATTGTAGGGTGCATATAATCATTGGTGAAAAGCAACGAAATAATTGATTAACACTAGTTTTCTGTGATCTGCTCTCCCACACTAATGTATAGTCACAATAAAGACACATTCTTGTTTTGAGTTGTTTGAATACTACGAACTTTTACTATATTATGTTCATAATATAGCTAATATATTTTAACTTACTAACTTGTAAAGTAGTCATGCCGCTGAAGTTACCCACAAAAAAACTAAAGCTGACGATAAAAAAAGGCATTAAAAAACTTTTATTAAGGTAGTTTGATATTTTTTCAGAGAAAGTTTCTTCTGTGTTGTCAGCAACTGTAACAAAGCAATCTCTCAATACTAAGGAATGTAAAGCAAAAAAAAAAAACAGTAGGTTAATAATTAAAAAATATTGTATAAAAATAAAGGAGATGCCTTAATTTTTACCTTTTTCTTTTTTGAATAAGGCTTGAATATCCAGAAGTTCTTGCTCTACAGCAGTAGCTGTAGTCCAGCCTCGTAACCACTGAAGACTCTTAAAAAAATTTGTAGGAGTCATTATAGGTAGTACCTACTTATTAGAGAAGTATAAAATTATAAAAAATTGGAAATGTGCGATTACTGTGTCTCTAACGTTTTTGTTTTTAAAAGCTTACTGATAGCACTAGGCTTTTTAACACTTATAGTGTTAAAAAGAAACAACATAGTATAGTTGGCAACTATACCTAAACTATATGCGGGTTTGAGCATTAGCACAAGTATACTCTGACGTTGAAATGCGTTAATATAAAGTGGTTTTATGAAACATGTTTTTTTCTTTTTTATTATTAACTTTTTCAAATATTAAGAGCTTCTTTATTAGTAGCTACAAAAAAATAATATTCCCAGTACTAGTATTCCAAGATATACTTTGCCACTTTTCACGGCTCTTAAAATAAATTTGCTTTCTTCACTTCATTTTTATTATTTTTCTGGTGCTAGAAATCAGTCACATAAAGTGCGTACCCAATTTTATACTTTATTTTACAATTTTTTACTTTCCGACACGCCTGAGTTGAAGGCTAGGTAGCCTATTGAATGCGAGGCCACGGCTCAGATCACGGTTACAACACCACTGAAAAAGGTGTACAGTAGAGATTGTTTCTGAATAATTTTCGGGCGAAGTATTCATTTGACGGTACAGTTAGTTTCTGACGACCCCATCTACCTTAGCAAAGCAACCAACTCTCCTCGACCACAAGTGTAAACCACAAGATTGCTGCCTATCCTAACCTGGTAAGTAGGTTACAGGTTGCCGAGTCTATAGGAAATTGAGTCTTTATTGGATCTACTATTTTTTATACCTTTTCTATTTACTGCTAATCACGGGAACTACTTGATGGGGGCGTGTGGTGAACTTTAATCAGTAACATCAATAAAATCGTAAAATGGTCGCTCCATTCCAATGTGCTCTATACTATACAACTATACAAAACTAGTTTATTTGTAACCACTAAATACCTTCCTTGCATCGTTGTTGCGGTTCTTTGATACCAACCAATGTGGCGACTCGGGCACAAAGCAAAGGGCGATGATTGCCAACACCTTAAATTAAAAGAACATGTAAGTGGAAAGTAAAAATAATATATCCAAATGTTATTTAAACTTGTGCAATTGATGAAAAACATTTACTCCGTAAGCAGTTACAATGTTATAACGAGCGAAATGTTTTAAAGCTTTAGAATGCGGTTTCGTTTTTCCATAAACCATTTTTTTCTAAAAATGAAACCTAGCTAGATCGATTAATCGCCCCCGAAACCCCCTGCATACTAAATTTCATAAAAATCGTTAGAGCCGATTCAGATTATACTCGTATATACACTCGTATACATATATTCAAGAATTGCTCGTTTAAAAGTATACATGTCCGTGTGGTGACGGATTAAGAATACGTAGTGTCACTACCCCAATTCATCCCGTGGGTGTCGTAAGAGCCGACTAAGGGCGCAAAACAACGCAGGACACCAGCACTGCAAAAAAAGAAAAACTTGTCACAAACCCTATACCAACCCGTCTGGCCAGCGTGGTATAGTAGGCCAAAACCTTCTTTCTAAGGAGAGGCCTATGTCCAGCAGTGGACTATTAAAGGCTGTTGATGTGATGTGATGATGTGAAAAGTATACAGTGTAAAAACAGTAGTTATATACGAAAAATGAGCAACGGCTCTTTTAAGTCTCAAATCCAAGACTCACACGTCTTGGATTTGATTGTTGATATTAGAAATCTGTAATTTATCATTGAAATGTGTATTGTTACAAATACAGTGATCCATTTGCATATTTAACTTAAAACTGTAAGGTTTTGTTAGACTCATGTGTTCGTAAGCGAACCAAAGAGAAACCTGCGGTTACATTAATAATGGCTTCAGTTTATAAATCATCTCAGTACAATCCAAAAAACTTGAAAGTGGAAAATACTATTTCAGAAATAGCCAGGTCTATCTTTTTGACTGGGAGGTTATTTTAATAAAGTTGTTCAACAGGTAGGCCGTGGGACAATCTCGTAATGGAAAGCGGTTACCTTTACCTATAGTGGTGTAAGACGCTTGTTGTTATCGCTTGTTGTCATATTTTAATTTTCATCAGACCGGGTAATGTTAAGAGCAAGAAACACCACATAGGCCACTTACTATAAAAAATAATCGTTTCGGAAAATAATCATAGATGTAAACATATATTGTTTAACTATGTTATATAAGTACGAGTATATAGTCTAGGTGAGAGTATCGCCGATGTAAGACGCAAATTTTATGAATAACGTTTCAAGTCCTTCACACATACCTGTAGGTGCGCGTCTTTCTAAATTAGAGGGCTGTCCCTCCGCACATTACAGGGGAGTCGCCTTGCTGAACAAGCAACCAAGTTGGGTTCACAGGGATTTACTTTCTAGGGTACACCTGAGGTTCATAATACCTGATGAAATTTATGTAGTTTGTCTTGCATTTGCTGTTGGGCGCCGCCGTTAAGGTAGGTAAAGGAATACAAAGCTACATTCTTGTTACGGTTCGTAACTACGTTCGTACTATATATATGCAGGATTGTTAAGGTGCACAGTGCTCAAGAAGCTTTCAATAATTGCTAACTCAAATGCATAAAAGTGCCTGAAAAAAGTCCTTTTGGCTAAAAGATAGATACCTGAGTTATAATTATAAATATATTACCGTAAATGTAATATTCACTAAGGCCACAATCCTCCAGTACAGTAAAAGACCAAGAAGGAACTGCGTGAACACTCCTATAATGATGCACAAAGAACTGGTAGCAGCGAGCGCACCTCTTATGTGGGGCTGAGTGATTTCAGCTACATACGTCAGCACCTGTAATTTACAAAATACTATGTATAACTTCCGTTGACGACGATGAGTTATAAGCATCAGAAACTCTTAGAAGACGAATTATTGATTAGTACCTATTGCTTTTAAATACTGATTTCACAGTGCATGGGTATCATATAGTTTGGTCACTACTTGGTTGAATATGTGTACCTTGTCATAGACAGAAGTGGAATCGACCAGGAGTGCCCTGACGTGAAGCATCATCACTTAATTTTTCTATAGCCATCCGCCTAAAGCAACGCCTGTATAGCAACTTGGATTTTGGGGGTTTGAAGACGTAGGAGAGGAAAATCAGGTCATGATGTGAGAATCCGGGTGCGTCTAGTTGACCATGAGCATACTCTGTACCCAGAGATTCAAGAACTGATTCGAAATTGAGTAAAATACAACACCGAGCATCGCTTCAGCGCCTTTGACACAAACCTCTAGGAATATAAATTCAGCATAGGCAGCACGAGCGGAAGTTAAAATAATTTTGTAGGAGAAGTCATTGCGTAGGTAAATGGCCACGTTCCCTTCCCTTCTCTCTGTTCTTTTATTCCGGATAAGAATAAAGCCAGGCAGAGGGTAAGAGGTAGAGAGAAGATGCGGTTTGAGCCAAGTCTCGGAGATCAGAACGAATTATTGGCATGAACATTGGCATCACAGAACGCCTCGTATATAAATTAGCGAAATGGTTAAGGAAACTTTGAGCATTTAGATGACACACATTAAGTAATGGGGTGCTGTTGTTACTATTAAATTTGTTGCGGAAAATATAATTGTTCTGTCGTGTTTTCGTGTTACGAGTATTTGTGCTTTGATGTTTGCTTGCTAATCCTTACAAAGTCAATCAAAAAGTAGTATTATTATAACAAAAATTATATCTGTTTATCCAAATAATGCGTTTTTTCGATCCCCTATAGTACTGTCAAACAATAGCCTAACTTATAGTTCGATGCTTTCCAATATCTGTGCTATCCCTTAGGTCATAATTTTAAAGCACTTAGAACCGGTGTATTTTGAGCTACAAAACTGGCTAGATATCATCAGTGTAACGGTTAGGCATAGAGTGCTAAGGAAACTCGCCGATCTCCCTTGGCGAGAAATAATTTTCTGTATCGGCACCAGTAATAATATTATAACATAAACCAATTTAAAACTCTGTTCCATGAAGATGAAATATGGTATCATACTCACAGGTGCCTCAAGTAATCCTCCTGCTAGACCAGTTAGAAATAAAGCTCCATAAAGATGTCCTGTTGTTGTAGAGAAGTGGAACAATAGCCATGCTATGCAAAACGGTATGTTAACCATCTGCATCGCCTTCTTTCGCCCTAGTGGAGACGTCACTAAACCTGACAGCGCACATCCTATTGGCACCACGATTAAATTCATAGAACCTGCACGGGACAAATAAACGAAATTAGATTTCGTATATGTTTGTATATGCTTCAGACGTATGTATATTATAACACAGATCGCTTATAATGGGACTATTAGTCTAATGGTTAGCGATCTCGACTGCTTAGCCGGAGGTAGCGGGTTCACAATCGCGGATCACTTGTTCTGTGTCTGAGCACACTTTATCTTTAATAAATATGTATTTAAAAATATAAATAAGTTATCATAGTAAAGTGGTTGATTGTAGGCGTGTACATACGTGTCTGTCTACCGTTTCGGGAGTAAAGACGTGATTGTGTGTTTGTATGCATGATTACAATGAACCTAGAGTTAAATAATTGTTGAAAAAGCTAACTGATGTACACTGGTGTAATCTTTGAAATTCACTAAAAAAATTAAAAACTAGCCAGCTAGCCAACAGCTAGGTATGTAAAGCGGTTTATCACCAGAATTTAGCTAATAGTACTGTCGGGTAGAGTCGAACGAGTCTGCATCTTGTACAAGACACCTGATAACCAGTATTAGCCTGGTTTCATTATTCTGCTGAGGCCTACGGCTACTCGTAATTGATCAGAATGGTTTTTTACATTTGTTACAATAGAACTATTTTATTGTAGTGCAACCTGACGCCTCCCGTGTATGCTTCAAATAGCTCATTCTCTCGACGAAGGGTCTATTTAAAAGTTTAAAAACAATCTAATATTTAATTTAGGTACGTATTTATTTCACACGAAATAAATACGTTATAAAACGAAAGATTTAATTTAGACCCCTATTTCTATCGCTGTTTTTATGGTGTTATCGTTTTATTATTAACGGTAGTTACCGTTAATAATAAAACCCAATTTACGATATTCTTCTTCAAGTTACGATAGAATTTTATTATACCACCAGCTTTTGCCCGTAGTTTCTGGGTAAAAGTAATTTTTCCACCCGTTAAGAATAATATTTGTGTTTGAGATGTTTTATGATGCTCGGCTCGCAAAAAACAAAATTGGTTTCCCATATTAACCACAGACTCAATCATACAAAAGTGCTGTTTTGACCTATGTGACTGAATATTATATGACATGACGGACAAAATTTGCCTTACTTATCCATGATATTTCTGATTTGGTTAAATATAATATTTCATCAGTCCTTGGTGATTGAACAGCTGGTATGAGGATAGTTGAAAATCCAAGGGTCATTCCATATCCTGAAACCAAAGAGATCTATGAAAATAATTAGTCACTACCCGTTACTGATATATTATAACTAGCTGACCCGCGCAACTTCGTCTGCGTCTCTCAATAGTAATATATTTTCTCCGTTTTTGAAACATTCTTCATTGGTGCTCCGCTCCTATTGGTCTTAGCGTGATGATATATAGCCTATAGCCTTCCTCGATAAATGGGCTATCTAACACTGAAAGAATTTTTCAAATCGGACCAGTAGTTTCTGAGATTAGCGCGTTCAAACAAACAAACAAACAAACAAACAAACAAACAAACTCTTCAGCTTTATAATATTAGTATAGATAAAAATATACATGTACGATATTACAACATAATTGACTTTTAAAAAGTATAACTGACTTTAATGTGTCTATATCAAGATGAATTGTAATAGATTGTATGCTTCATTACTTAATTTTCACTATTAGGGGTGGCATTTTTGGTCAAATTTAATTGAGACCAAATGGGAAGTATAACCCTATCAAATAAATAAAATGAAATCGGTTTATAAATGACGGAGTTTTTGGGATAACAAACATAAAAAACAGCCGAATAAAGAGAGACAAGTGTCCAGCAGTGGGCTATTAAAGGCTGTTGATGTGATCTGACAACTTTATGCACTTATGTGCATCGGCGGACTTAATGCCTTGGGCATTCTCTACTAGCTAATCTTTGGGTAGTGTAGAATTTTTGTAAGATTGGTGCATCTTGTAGGTGCAGTTGTAATCAATAGATTTTTTATTAATCTATATATATAAAAGAAAGTCGTGTTAGTTACACTATTTATAACTCAAGAACGGCTTTACCGATCTGGCTGAAAATTGGTGGGGAAATTGCTTAGAGCCAGGAGACGGACATAGGATACTATTTATTCCGTTCGACAGTTTTTTTTTTCTTTTTTGTTTTTTACGAACTTTGCTTTAAGTACTCGGAGATGCCACGTTATTATACTTGGAATGCTTCGAATTTTCAAAGACGGAAGCAAGGCGAAGCGGTTCCTGGGTATCCGGATGTGCGTTCTACTGATGCTCTTGGTCGTATGTACACAGTTCATCCAAAGAATGATGAATGTTTCTATTTGCGGTTGTTGCTGGTAAATGTGCGTGGGCCAACGTCATTTGAGACACTACGGACTGTTAATGGTGTAATATTCCCAACATATCGTGCTGCATGTGAAGAACTGAACTTATTAGAAAACGATACCCATTGGGATACGACAATCGCTGAAGCCATTATCTCTGCATCTCCAAGTCAGATACGCACATTATTCGCTATCATAATTTGGACATGCTTTCCATCAAACCCATGTAACCTGTGGCACAAATATAAGGATAATATGTCAGAAGATATTTTACATCAAATTCGTATCACTTCCAGAAATCACGATGTTGAGATGAATGAGGAGATACATAATCGTGCTTTACTCTTGATCGAAGATATGTGTTACCTCATGTGTGGTAGTTTATTAATCAGGTTAAGAATGCCAGCGCCCAATCGTGAAATGAATGACGCATTTAATCGAGAATTGGAACGGGAACGTGAATATGATCACCAGGAATTAGATTTAGTAGTTCAAACGAATGTACCCCTGTTGAATTCCCAACAAAAGGAAGTTTATGATACTTTAATGAAGGCAATCGATGATGGAAATGGTGGTTTATATTTCCTAGATGCCCCTGGTGGAACAGGTAAGACATTCCTCATGTCAGTAGTTTAAGCCACTGTTCGGGCGAGATCCAACATAGCGGTTGCAGTTGCTTCTTCTGGAATAGCAGCCACATTGTTAGAAGGATGCCGTACGGCTCATTCAGCATTAAAATTATCGTTAAATCTTCAAACTATTGAAGAACCAACGTGTAATATTACGAAAAATTCAGCAATGGCCAAAGTTTTATCGGCATCGAAAATCATCATCTGGGACGAATGCACAATGGCGCATAAACGTGCATTAGAAGCACTTAACCGAACATTGAAAGATTTACGGAATGACTCGAGATGTTTTGGAGGAGCAATGATTTTACTGTCAGGCGATTTTCGCCAAACACTGCCAGTAATTCCAAGATCTACGGCTGCCGACGAAATAAACGCTTGCCTCAAATCGTCGAATCTATGGCGCTATGTGAAGAAACTGCAGCTGACAACAAACATGAGTGTTGCATTGCTTAATGATACATCTGCTGAAGATTTCTCTGAGCAATTGCTGACTATCGGTAATGGTCAAGTACCTGTCGATGAATCGAGCGGATTGATATCATTTCCAAATAATTTCTTTAATTTTGTCTCATGAAAAGATGAACTTATCAACAATGTATTTAAAGACATTATTTCTAACTACAAAAATAATGAATGGTTGAGTGAGCGAGCAATTTTAGCGGCTAAGAATAAAGATGTAGACGACCTGAACTATATAATTCAAAATAAGATCATTGAAACAATGCATTCATTCAAATCTATTGACTGCGTCACAAATGAAGATGAAGCCACCAACTATCCAATTGAATTTTTAAACTCCTTGGATGTGTCTGGCTTACCACCGCAAAATTTACGCCTAAAGGTTGGCTCCGTAGTAATCATGCTTCGAAACATAAACCAACCAAACTGTGCAACGGTACGCGTTTGGTGGTTAAAAAATTGATGAAAAATGTAATCTACGCGACGATATTGAAAGGAAAATTCAAAGGTGAGGAAGTTCTCATTTCGAGGATCCCGATGATCCCAACCGATTTGCCTTTTAAATTCAAAAGACTTCAATTTCCGATCCGTCTTGCATTTTCCATGACCATCAACAAATCACAAGGCCAATCCTTAAAAGTTTGTGGTTTGAATCTAGAACATCCATGTTTTTCCCATGGTCAATTATATGTGGCATGTTCACGGGTCGGAAGACCATCTGCTTTGTTTGTTTTTGCGCCTGATAAGAAAACTAAAAATGTCGTGTATCACAAGGTACTTAAGTGAAGAGCAACCTATGTACTGAAATGCAGAAAACAATAATAAATGATTGATGTACTTCTTTTTTTTTTATAAGAAATAAATTAACTTACTAAATTCGAAAATCGGCTTATTTATTGCCTTAAAGGCGGAACAGAGTTCGCCGGGTCAGCTAGTAAATATATAAAACTACATTAACTCACATGTACAATACACGCACGCAAACATAAATAAATATGTGTATTTAAGATTGATGCCGTATCCAATCTGCTTGTAATATTTTTGTTGCCTACTAGGATCGCTTAGCATTTCGAAGGGTTTACTGACAATCCGAATATCATCGACCAGTATTCTATGTAATTTAGGTCCTTGGGGATGTTATCGATGTCTTGCGTTATATCCTCCACCGTTGCATGTGAGTACAATTGTAGATCATCGGTATATACATGATACGCAGGCTGAAGATGTCGAGTTATGAGGTTGATGAGATGACAAGACTAGATGACGAGACCAGATGACGAGAATAAAAGGCGAGTTAAAATTCCTTGAGGGACACCAGTGTAGAAGTCGCACCAACTTGATCACACAAGATCTTGGACACGAGCACACTACTGGCGATCTTGAAAATATTTGGAGGACCATTCCAATGCCTTTTGGGGTTTCTTCAGATATGTAAGGATTGATAGTAGGATTTCGTGACTGACGGTATTAAATGCATTAGAGATTTTAGCTGACATCAGAACTGTCACTTTGGTGTCTTCGATGCCCTTCCTAATATCACTAGTCACTTTAAAGTAATAGGTACAGGCGCTGCAAATACTGTAACCGGACGTGAAGTCGGACTGCAAAGCAAGTGCTTTACAACTGTGCTTTAAACTGGTAAGTCCAGTTTATGTCGGTAAATATACTAATTCTAACAGCTGCCTGTCTAAATAGCCCTCGAACACTTTAGATAGAAAGGGAAGACTGGAAATAGGTCAGAAGTGTTCAGGTAGTGAAGGGTAATGTTCTTAGAAAGAGTGATGACGTAAGCCTTACGCCAGAGGGGAAGGTTCCTGAGTCGAGAGAGAAGTTAATTATATTAGTAATTACTGAGAGGCATTAGTATAGTCCAGGATAGTAACAATCATTCGTCGGCTAATGCCATCATACCCCACATCATTAGAGTAAATAGATAGGATAATCTTGATCTCTCCAGAAGGCAACACAGAAAATTCGAATGAGTCGATATTGGGACTGGTAAGACTAGATAGATAGACCAGTAGAACAGCATTAGACACCTGGTTTGAAGATCCAGTTTGTGGATGAGAAATAACGGTTGATATCATTCAGACCAATTAAATTCTTAAACTTGGGATGTTGTTGTATACCAATAACCAGAGTACCGATAAATTTGCAGATACTGGCAGAAGAGGAAGACTGTTTTGAAGAATATGGAGTGAGGTCAAATGCGAAGCTTAAGACCGAACGCGATGGAAAATTACTGTGAACGCCCTCTGTTCGATCACGGGGACATAGGACATTAAGTTAAGTCGTCACCTGGTTACACCGATTCCTTGCAGCCTTATAACGGATTTAGTTGTCTTCCACTACGTTAACAAAAAAAAGGTGACAGTACAGAAAAGTTGTACCTAATCGCTTATTTGTCGGAACGATGTTCGTGACCAATGACAAAATTGTATAATTTTTCTAGGTTTAAGAATTAAAAAAAAAAACTTCTATTAAACTAATGAAACAACGATTAAATGATAAAAACAAAAAGCTTACTTTATGTTTTGTTTGTAAATAGTTAAGTATCTAATATCGAAATATTTTAACTATATGTACAAGTGTGCTACTTACCCAATAATAGCAAATTCTTAGCGCTAACAGCTAGAAATTGAGGTAACGCCGTCTGGAAGTCCTTTTCGTATTTGTAGTCATTATTGTTATTACACTCTCCTTCAGATAAAGTTTCATTCTTCTCTGAACTCATCTGAAACAAAAATTAGTACTCGTAGTTATAACACATGACAAAGTAATCTAATATGGCCATTGGTATTAATTCCCAATATTATATAATTTGCAAGAGCTTTTGTGAAGTAAGGTTAGGGTAATTTCGCTAGCGTTCAGGCCATAAGAAAATTATACTAATGTGTTTTATGTACCTATATGTAAAAAAAGTCGTCATGAAATTAGATGAGCCAATACAATATAGAGCTGTTGAATACATGAGACAAAAACCTAACAAAGTAAAGGAAAAAACTATACTACCTAAAAAACTACTACTTAACTACTAAGTAACTGTTGTGTAAAAAAATTATGTCTCTAAAAATTTCTCTTAAAATAATATAACTATGGAAAAGCCCAAGGGAGCCCTACGTCAACGACCGTGCATTTAATATTTGCATTCCATAAACGAGGCGTCACAATTTGTACTGTATATATTACTAACCTCAGAACTTCGATTACTGTTCCTGCGAATCAAACAAGTATGTCTATTATATTCTAAAAAAAGAAAGAAAATGTGTATAAATATGTCGAAATAAAAGTTATTTATATCGGACTACCACCGTTAAAAGTCAAATAATGTCATTCAAAGTTACCTTATTTTTGCGTACCCAAATAAACACAACTTGCAAACAAACACTATGAAGTTGTGTTGTGTTCGTTTGAGTTTATAACACAGAGCTTAGTTTTCATTATATTACTCAAAAACTATCAACTAGAATAATTATGAAAGACTAGTATCAGCAGAATATCGTCGCGTGCATGTTATGTAAACGTTGCTTTTGCTACTACCCACTTTCGACGTCAATTTAGATATTAATGTTGCTATCTATTTCACTATACGCTTAGAATATTTTTTATTGTTCATTATGATACGTATTCTATACGTTAGCATTAAAGGAAAAGCAGAGTAAAAATTACTACATACTACATATACCTTGTTTATAGTTAAATATTTAAAAACAAATTTTTGGATTGTAGTTCCTATTTTATAAACCTACTGCAAAATATTGTAGAAACGCTTACTTTTAAGCAACGACTTCTCGTCGTTCAAAAGTAAACGTTTCTCTAATATTTTTCGTTTGTTTGTCTGTTTATGTTTCGTTTCTATAATATTATTGGGGAGTAAGCTGGTAAACGCGTGACGAGAGCGATACAACAAGTGTGATCGGCCGGGGCAAACGGCAGTTGAGATTAAGATATAAGTCAGTGAAGATAGAAAGAGAGTTACGTTTCGTATATTACTGTAGGGGCAAGAGAGAGAGAGAGGTGCGAGCACACATTTTCTTTCTCTCATAGCCAAGAAGTTTTACTTCAGTCGTGTGGGCTAAAGCACACAACGGTCATGACCACCTCGTTTTTAAACATTTTCCATATTCTGTTAAAAGTCAAATACTAGTTTAGGGTTTTAAAATGTTTTTCTCCTATATTTTCCATTACATTTTAAGCGGTTATTTAGCTGCTCCTGCTTCTATAGATACGCCAAAGAATGGGTTGCTTTTACTTTACCGTCCCCTGGATGTCAGCAACGAGTGTGCATTCTCAGGTCATTTGCGTTATGATCTGTCTTTTGGCATGGGTATGTCTGACACTATCACAATGGTTAGTAAACACAATCAGATGTACACCTGTTCAATGTGATTGTATCTAAACCAGTTCATGAACCGACCGTATAGCATACAATCTAACCGTATATCGTGCCATTAAACACTACGTTCAATCTTGACGTCTAATATACTTAAGAAATAACTTTGCGACATTAATCACTAATGTCGACTTTGTGCGAGTACAAAATACTTCCATGCACTATAAACGCTCGCTCGTAATTCTATTGCCATTAGCCATAAAAAAAAAATATATATATATATATATATATATATATATATATATATATATGTAGGTATAAATGCTTTAATTACATAACAAGACTACAATAACAGACTTGGAAATATGTCCTTATAGAAAGTCAACCGGGATACAGAAATACCTATTAATTTCATTAGGTTGCTAATTTGTTCCCATATGTAATTGTGTGTAATGTGTCCCATGTGTAATGTATTCATTCAAATGATGATGCCTACAATAATGGTATTTATATTGATTATGAATAATTAAAAGTATATAATTGACTCTTTTCTTTTTTACAACTCCATCGTACTTTGTGTTGTAATTGTGTTGTGGGTATTTGATGCTCTACTTTTTTGCAGTTTTCTAGGTAAATGCCCGTTTCACAAAATGTGTTTCTTTTTCGTAACGTAACGTTTTCGATTTGCATAAAGTAAATAAAAATTTCATCAAGAACCCGTGTTGATGTATGTATGAGTACTTTATCATAAGAAGTATCAAAATAGAATTGGTATTTATAAATAATAATAATATTAATTACTATTCAGAATAAGCTTAGAGTTACAATGAGCAAGTTTTCGACAAAATAGGTACGTTGCTTAGCTTTTCCATAGAACGAATTCATGAAGTGTAGTATGATCGACCGATTTATCCTGATATAAAAATAAGTATTATGACACTAGAGTGTACTTACTCAAATAGATTTCAATGTTAGTTGACTGTTTATGTTTATGTTATGTTTGTGTTATGTTTTTATTATGTTTTTGTTATGTTTTTGTTATGTTTATGTTATGTTATGATTATGTTATGTTTATGTTATGTTATGTTCTGTGTGTGTGAAAACTGTACCGGAAACTTTATCTACGCGTTTTTAAAGCGTTTTATTAGTAAAATGTCCAGATTATAAGCGAATTGCCCAAGAAGATTGCAACGTTGACGCTGAAGATTACGACCCAATCTGTACTTATTGAGGCACAAAACAAGAAAATTGATAATCAACAGCAAACGATTAATCACTTAACGAAGGTAATTGAAGATTTATCCACTAAAATCGACAAGCTGCTAACATCAACAAGTGTGAGCGAGATAGAAGAACCAACTAAGATGGCCGCTACGCAAGGTGTAAGCGAGACAGTAGCAGTTACAGCAGGAAACGTGCCAGCGCCGAGCGATGGGACGAAATAAATCTAAGGGTGTGCACACACACAGCAGTAATACTGATGAAAATGTGACATTGTCTAAATAGTAGTTTGTGGGGAAACCAGGTAAATCTGATGACAATTGGAAAGTTGTTAGTAGGAAGAAGACTACCTTGGCTTGCAAGACTATTCTGAAAAGAGGGAATCCGCAGATATCATCGTTCTAAGCCATACAAAAAAAGAAGTTCTTACATATATGGTCTCTGCATCCGGATACCGCAGTAGAGACGATAACGGAGCACGTTAAATCTATTTGTACATCGGATGATATAAAAGTGGAAAAAATCATACCTTAAACTAAAAGGGATTACGCTTCTTTTATGATAGGAGTTCCAGAGTCTGAATTCGATGCAGTGAAAAGTGTAGACAGTTGGCCGGTTAATATCGATTAAATGAATGGGTGTGGTGTCGCAACTCCCGTAGGCCCCCAGAAAGTGGGGAGGAAACCCACTAAGTCTATTCAAATGTAATACCAAAACGTCCGAGGACTGCGAACGAAGACGGAAACTTTCTACAAAAATGTGTTAGCATCAAATTATGTCATTTTTGCAATTACTGAGTCTGGACTGAATATAATGTAATAATGTTCAAATCAAATCAAAATCATTATTGCCAATTAAGCGTACTTACCTAATAATATATATATTATTACTTCAAGAATTAAAAGACAACTCCCGCATTAGGAATAAGTATATCCTGTGTCGCGGGGGACTTTACACACATAACACATGGGCTGAAAAGTCCCGGGCCTAACAAAGAAAACACAGTTTTTTTGGTTCAAAATTAGCTTTAATCAGTAATGTAATCTCCATCAAGAGCAACGCAATCATTCCAGCGCCGCTCTAACATTTCAATACCACTTTTATCTTTTACACGATTTATCTTTTGCCTCAAAATAGGCCTCAGTTTCAGCGATAACCTCTTCATTCGTGCATGAAATTTCTTACCGGCGAGCATTTTTTTCAGGTCTGCGAACAGCCAATAGTCGCTGGGAGCCAAATCTGGCGAATACGGTGGATGTGGGAGCAATTCGAAGTTCAATTCCTGTAGTTTTGCCATTGTTTTGATTGACTTGTGACACGGTGCGTTGTCTTGATGAAACAAAATTTTTTTCTTTGCCATATGCGGTCGTTTCTTTGCAATTTCGGCCTTCAAACGCTCCAATAACGCTATATAATATTCACTGTTAATGGTATTTCCTTTCTCAAGATAGTCGATGAATATTACACCACGCACATCCCAAAATATCGAGGCCATAACCTTTCCAGCCGATTGTTGTGCTTTCGGGTGCTTTGGACGAGGTTCACCGATCGTTTTGATTCCGGAGTGAAGTGATGGATCCATGTTTCATCCATTGACACGTTCTCGTTTTTGGTCAACAGTGAGTAAACGCGGCACCCACTTTGAACTGAGCTTTCTCATGGTGAAATGCTCATGCAATATAAAGCCAACACGTTCTTTTGATATCTTTACGATGTCGGCTAACTCACGCAACTTCACTTTTCGATCATTCAAGACGATTACCGCCTCATTTGCACATCCACTGCGTTCTGCATCATCGGTGTCTCTACGACCACGTTTGAAGTCAGCAAACCAACGTTTTATTGTTGTTTCTGATGGAGCGGAGTCCCCATAACACTTTTCAAGCCATTGCTTCGCTTAAACGGTATTTTTTCCACATCAAGAAGCAGTGTAAAATTAAAACACGAAATTGTTTTTGTCCATTGTTTTGAAAATAATAAAAGTAGCGTTACTCTTGGCACAATAACTCACAAACTAATGAAAAGAATATCCTGAAATTCTAACAGCTGCCTTTTGAAGGTAAGTATTAACTGAAAAAAAGGTGACTGCAATAAAACTAGCGTCATGTATGTGTTAGGCCCGGGACTTTTCAGCCCATGTAATACATGAAACGGACATAAGAACACCCAGACTCACATCAACAGCCTTGAATAATCCACTGCTGGATATAGGCCTCTCCTTAGAAAGGAGGTTTTGGCCTACTATACCACGCTGGCCAGACGGGTTGGTATAGGGTTTGTGTCAAGGGGTGCTAGGCTAGAAAACCTCCCCGTGGTGCACCCTGGAAACGCTGGCGATGGCACTGTTTCCTCCTTGTCCACTTGGAGGAGAGGATTATCGCCAGCGGCTAATATTCTAGCAGAAGAGGAAGCCGTTCATCGGCTCTCGGGCAAGGCCTGGTCCAGCAGGGTGGGCGTGTCTGCCGGTTGCCCTGCTGGCTCTTCGCTCTTCGAAGCATGGAGGAGGAAACCTCGGTAAAAAAACCGGATGGCGGGGCCCTGTAGGGGCCACAGTTTCTCCGCTAACAGCGGTGGAGAAAGGAGGACGGGCTCGGCGTGTACTGACACTACCACCGAGCAGGCAGGGGGACGTAGTCTCCCTGTCAACCGTCGGCATATCGTAATCCCGAGAAGAGCGCTGTGGTTAAGTCTCGCGGCTCTGATCGGGGGCGAGGGTCTTGGCTTAACCGCCCGGACCGCGAGAAAGAGAACCTCTCCAAAAAAATTCCTCGAATCCCGTGTTCTGGTGCGTGGCCAGGGGATGCATGGCTGATGGGAAGTTCAGTCTCGAGCGCACTCCAAGCCGAGGTACCTGCGGACCCCTCGGTTGGGTTAAAAACTTACGCTTGCCCGGGTAATGGGGGATCTCTGCCCGGGTGGACCTTTAGTTCTCCCCCACTCGTGGGATTTATTATGAATATGAATACTAATAAAAATACAAAGAAACGGACACAAACGGTAAAAAAAAAAACAAAAACAGGCAAGCAAAACGGACACTGAAACGAAGTGGCATTCCCTCCGCTCCCCACTCCGACACCCCTCCGCACCTGCCCCCTCCAACGAGGGTTGGCAGGAGGCGAGGGGCTCCAAGAAGTCCCGAAGGCGGGCCAAAAAGGCTGCCCAAAAAGCAGCCTAAGCCCAGCCTTCGCCACCGGTGGCAACGGCCTCTATAAAGCGGCCGCGGCTGTAGTGGTGACCGTGTCCCCGGAGGCGGCTGACGGCGGGCTGACCTACGCGGCCGTCTTTAAAAAGGCCCGGGACCGCCTCGCCAACGATTTTGGGACGGCGGGGGTCAGGATGCGCCTCGCCCAGACGGGAGCTCGAGTCCTCGAGTTCCCTGGGGCTGAAGGCGCTAAGACGGCAGACACGTTTGCCGAGAAGCTGCGGGGACTCTTTACAGCTACGGATGGTGTAAAGATCGCCAGGCCTACTAAGTGCGCAGAGCTGCGCATCTCGGGCCTGGACGACTCCGTAACGGCCGAAGATGTCCGCGCTGTAATCCGGGAGAAGACGGGGTGCAGCGCGGACAACGTCAGGGTCGGCACCATCCGCCCCGGTCCAGGAGGGCTTGGCGCCGTGTGGGTCAGCTGTCCCGTAGCGTCGGCCAAAGTATTGGCCGACGCCGGCAGGCTGCTCATCGGTTTCGTGAGCGCCAGGATCACAGTCCTGGCGGCGAGACTGATGAGGTGCTACAAATGCCTAGCATCGGGACACACGCGCGTCAAGTGCGACAGCTGTTTTGACTGCGGCGGACTGTGTTTCCGCTGTGGTCAACCGGGGCATAAGGCGGCAGAATGCTCTGCCACCCCTCACTGCCCAGCGTGTGCGGCGGGCAATAAGCCCGCCAATCACCAGATGGGGCAGAGAGGCTGCAAGCCTCCCCGCAGTTCTCGGCAGACGTCAGGGGCTAGCCAGTCGACCCAGGCTACCCCCGACGTCAATATTGCGTCGACGTCGTCGCCCATGGAGGAGGTTGTAAAGTCGATCCAGTAATGGATCAAGTCTCCAACCTCCTGATCCAGACGAACCTGAACCACTGTGCCGCGGCGCAGGATCTCTTCCTGCAAACCATGGCACAGTGGTCGATAGGTGTTGCCGTAGTCGCGGAGCCCTATTTTGTCCCTCCCCGTCCAAACTGGATGGGTGACTGGGACGGCTCCGTGGCAGACGTCGGTTCCACGGCGGCTCATTCCCCGCCCTTTTCGCTAAGAGACAAGGGCACTGGATATGTTGCCGCCTAATGGGGGGGGATCACCATATATGGTGTTTATTTCTCCCCCAACCGGAGTTTGAACGACTTCGAGGTTTTCCTAACCAGCTTGGAGACCTCGATACGGCGACTAGCGTCTGGGCACGTCCTTGTGCTGGGGGACTTCCGTCCCCCAGGACGGACGCAAGAGGAGTGGGCGGCCTCGGTGGGCCTCTGTCTTCTCAACAGAGGCTCCACCAACACGTGCGTGCGACAGCAGGGGGGTCGATAGTGGACCTTTCGTTCGCTACCCCTGCCCTCACCGCACGAGTAAGGAATTGGCGTGTCCTGGAAGAGGTTGAGACGCTCTCGGATTATCTGTATATCCGATTTGAGCTCTCCCGGATCCAGGACTCCAGTAGGGGTCACGTGGCGCGGCGTTTATCCCGCTTTCCGCGGTGGGCTGTTGCCAGACTGAACCGGGACCTACTAGAGGAGGCAGCCATAATTCACTCGTGGCTGTCTCCTCAGGCTCCGACCGAGGAGGTCAACGTGGGGGCTGGTCGCTTTCGCGATGCGATTACGCATATCAGCGATGTCGTCGGCCTCCAAGGAAGGAGGTCTACTGGTGGTCCCAGGAGCTGGCGGACATCCGTGCGGCCTGTACACGTGCCCGGAGGTCCTACACGCGCAGTCGGCGGCGTCACCGTGGAGACGGTGAGGAGGACCGGCTTCATGAGGAGTACTGACAGGCGCGGAAAACTCTGAAGCTGGCCATTAGCCGCGCCAAAGAAGAAAAGAGAGAGGAGATGCTGGAGGGTCTTAATCGTGACCCCTGGGGTCGCCCTTACCGCGCGGCGGGCACGGGCCCCCCCCTTACGGAGACTCTCCAGCCCAGCTTCCTGCGAGAAGTGGTTGAGGGCCTTTTCCCGCAACGAGCGTAACACACTCCCCCGGCGATGGCCTCCTTGGCCGGAGACGACGGGGAGCACGAGGAGGATGATGTTCCGCCCGTCCGGGATTCGGAGGTAGGGGCGGCTGTTCTACGGATCCGTCCCAAGAACACCGCCCCTGGGCCAGACGGGGTACCGGCCCGAGTGCTGGCCCTGGCCCTCAACCACATGGCAGACCGCCTCGGGGAGGTGTTCGACGCTAGCTTGACGTCGGGACGTTTCCCTGAGTGCTGGAAGAGCGGAAAGCTGGTCCTATTAAGGAAGCCGGGACGGCCTGCCGATTCGGTCGCGGCCTATAGGCCCATCGTGCTGCTGGACGAGGCGGGTAAATTGTTTGAGAGGGTTCTTTCTGCCCGCATCGTCCGGCACCTCTACGAGGTGGGCCCCGATCTGTCGGACGCCCAATTTGGTTTTCGGGCGGGGCGTTCGACAGTCCATGCCGTGTTGCGCCTGAGGGCCGTGACCGAAGAGGCCGTGAGCTGTGGCGGCGTGCTGTTGGCGGTGTCATTAGACATCGCCAACGCATTCAATAGTCTGCCATTCAGCTGCATCAGGGAAGCACTCCACTATCATGGGGTGCCAAAGTACCTGAGGCGGCTAGTGGCAGACTATTTAGAGGAGCGTACCGTCGTGTACGAGGACCGAGAGGGTAATTTGAGGTGTCGGCCCATGTCGTTCGGTGTTCCACAGGGGTCTGTTCTTGGACCCCTCTTGTGGAACATAGGGTACGACTGGGTCCTTCGCACCGATTTCCCCCCCGGGCTGGGTGTAATCTGTTACGCAGACGATACCCTGGTGACAGCAGTGGGATTGAAGGCGGAAGTGCTCGCTGAAGTTTATCGGCGAGTGGCTGACTCCCGGGCGGAGAGCGGATTTCGCCCTCCGCCCGAGGATGTGCGTTTTCCTTCTCTTTGCCGCTGTTGTCCTGCGTAGTTTGTCCCCTTAGTCGGCTTTTACGACACCCAGGGGATTAATGGGGGTGGTGACACTCCGTATTCTTAATCCGTCACCACACGGTTTTTCTTCAGTGTATTCATCCTCGGTGTAGAAACATTCCGCAATTAAAAATGATTGATCGGATGTTAAATCTACTGAACAAAAATGAAATAGAGATAATATTGTGTATAAGTATCATTAGTTAGTTAAATATATTTTATAATCTTTTTATTAGGTATTTGTATAATATATGCGCTTGCACGACTTAACGACATGATCGAATGGCCCAATTTTAATCTGCCATATTATTTTACAAACTTCTCGATTTTCTTTCAAACAATCTCGATTGAACATTGCTTGAATCCTCCGCCGGTCGGCTTTCCGAGAAGAACTCCAATTCACACCTGACAACATCGTCAGCCCTTAAAGTATCTCGACCCATAAGATTTTTCACTCTGTGGTGCTCATCAATATTCTGTTTATTTATAGGTATTACGCACTTTAAACGGTATAGATTATGAGTGCAGCATCGAGATCGCGGCGCAATCGACAAATGTTTACCTGATTGTGGTTATTAAGTTTCCTACGAATCTACTTAAGAACTGCTTCGCTAATGAAGATGCTTTTATGGTAATGAAGAAGAACAAATGCCTTCGTCTATGTGAATTACTAGGAGACAGAAATTTGTTTTCAACGTACTTCGTGATCACCGTAAAGGGTAGACTGCGATTTAGATTCCTGAGCAATAGCAGCATTAATTCAGATATAAATGTAAGGGCTATTCTTTCTACTTTGGATCATTTTTCAATCAAATCAAATATTTGGTGTTAATAGTTGAAATAGAAGCTGTTGGACTAATTAAGAAAAAATACCTAATTTAGCAAATTTTTGATGAATTAATGCATATTGTCTATGTATGTAAAGTAATGGCAATTAAAACATCGAGGTCGGTAATAGGAAAAGAAAACGGCATGAGGGGTCTATGGTCCCCCGGTCGGGATGAAGTTCCGTAAGAAGTGCTTTAAAATAGTCTTGTTACACATTTTTCGGTCTCACTCCCATCTGCTCCGAGCGTTTAACGGAACCTTAATAAAAAACTTCGATCCAAAATTGCTAGCATCGTCTAAATTTATACCTGTGACATTAAAGCTGAAACTCATAAAAAAATCATTGCAATTAATAAAGTAGACATTATTATCATTTAGAGATGTTTCGGTATTGTAATACAGCGTTTTATTATCTGAGCGATTTTCTTTCAAGAAAGTGTAATTGTAATCAGGAGTGAGATATTATTGTAAATGCGCTGATCCCGAATAAATTCGAGAAAAAGATGAAAGAAGAAGATGACGATAGGCTAAAGATATATTTATATTAAAAATCTATCTCAGATCAAATTAATAAGTTTATTTGATTTGAGAAATATATCTACATTTTTACTAAAGCCACCACGGGTTTGCATCAAGTAAAATTTGAATTTTAAAAACATTAAGGCAATAGGTTTCAATTTGATTGCACTAAAATGCGCTAATTCGTAGATACTTTCTTGCTAAGGCTCGTATAACCCAGGGTGCAAGGAACACGGGCCAGCAACGTCGCGATACTGCGGCGACCGCAGCGAATGCTGGCCATCAGGATCATAAGGGGGTACCGCACGATCTCCTTTGAGGCGGCGAGTCTCCTGGCCGGAACTCCACCGTGGGACCTGGAGGCGAGAGCCCTTGCAGCACTGTATCAGTGGCGCAAGGAGGCGCAGGAGTTGGGTCGATGCCCCGAGATTCGAGAAATCGATGACCGGAAATCCCAACTCCGCCAGGTCATCATAGGGGAGTGGAGGGAACGACTCGGGCAACCGAGCGCCGGGCACGCCGTCATTGCGGCGGTAAGACCCGTTATGGAGGATTGGCTCGAGAGGCGTCACGGGACCCTCTCATACCGATTGACGCAGGTGATCACTGGGAAGGGATGTTTCGGAGATCACCTGTGTCTGATCCGCAAGGAGCCAACGCCTGAGTGCCACCACTGCGATGGCCAGACCGTGGACACGGCTCTCCACACGCTGGCAGAGTGCCCGGCGTGGGTTGAGCAGAGGCGAGACCTCGTGGCGGCCATCGGAGTGGGAGTTCTCTCGCTCGATAGCCTGATTGCGGCTATCGTGCGGAGCGAGAGTGCGTGGAACTTTGCCGTCTCCTTCTGCGAGCAAGTTATGCTCGCGAAGGAGACGGCGGAGCGGGACCGGGAGAGGTTTAGAACTCTCCCGGCCCGCCAGGCCCGGGCACGGGCCAGGCAGCGCAGGCGACTCAGGCGCCGGAGGTCGCAGAACGACCTTCGTCCTCCATAAGCGCAGGCCTGGGGGTGACAGGTGAGGCCATCTGTCACCCTAGCAGAAGCAGGCCGGGGTGGCGGCGAGCGCGTTGCGAAGCGCGCTCGCTTCCAGGGAGCACAGGGAACATGGGGTTCCCACACGGGGCGGGGGTCGTCTACTCGTCTGTAGATGACCCGAGGTATGTCGGGGCACCAGGGCCTTCCTTTCTAGGGTATACCTGGTTCCCCGGCTATTAGTACCCGGCGAAGGCGTGCGGTTTTAGTCGGTTCGAGTCCGACATGCCACCGACAGGTGGTATCCGAGGGGATTTCCGCACGGAAAAAAAAAAAAAAAAAAAAAAAAAAGGGTGCAAGGAACAGAGTAGGGATGAAAATGTTAATAATAATGTTTGTTTAAATTACTATATTGTAAATAATGTTAATACTACAAAAACTACTATTAAAAAAGATCAATGTGATCTTTAAATCGTGCAGGCTGAGATGTATCAAGTCACTGCTACAACTGCTCGGAAAAAGCCTCTTCCTGGAGACTGTCAAGGCAAAAATGAGACATTATGTGTCATTGATCATAAGGAGTACTGTTTCACGAATGGGGTTGTATGCGACGGAATCATAAACTGCGGCGCCAAAGATTGGTAATTCTTTCAGATAACTTTTATTATAATAAACAGTAAGTACACATCTTAGGAAACTCAAGTTTATTAGATGGGTGATACTTTCAATATCTATAAAGATATAAAATATAAAGAGCTGTGGGCAATATTGCTATTTGACCCTTTTTATTTTCCTTGCGGAAATTCCTTCAGATACCACCCACCGGTGGGGTGGTTATGTCGGACTCGAACCGACCAAAAACCGCACGCCATCTCGGGTACCAGTTGCCGGGGCTCCAGGTGTACCCTAAAAAGCAGATCCCTGGCACCCCAACGTTCAACGCGCCTCTCACCACCACCCTGGCCTGCGCTTATTAAGGACAGAGACCTCCGGCGCCTGTGTCGTCTGCTAATGCAGACCGCCGTTTACTGCAGAACTTTCCCGGGCCCGTTCCCGAATCTGACGGGCCGGGAAAGTTCTAAACCTCTCCCAGTACCGCTCCGCCATCTCCTTCGCAAGCATAACTCGCTCGCAAATCTAGACGTCGGAGCCACTCTTGTATAATGTCGTCGGTACTATGACGGCAATCATGTTAAAGAGCGAGAGATTTCCCACTATGATGGCCACCACGAGGCCACGCCTCTGCTGCACCTACTCCAGGCATTCTGCCAGCGTTTGGAACGCTGTGTCCACGGTCTGGCTATCGCAGCTGTGGCACTCAGGCGTTGGCTCAGGTTTCCTGGTGATCACCTTCGTTGATATGAGAGGGTTCGAGCCAACCTTCCAAAACGGCATTATCTTACCGCCGCGATAACGGTGTGTCCATGCTATTTGACCCTAGATGTTCACCGATATTTCCTTCATGTGAACGATGCATAAGTTTATAAAAACGATAGCTAGGACCTTTCTTAGAGTTTTGAAATGGGTTATGTTTTATTTATTCCATTTTTTTTCCTGTAGATTTTATTCGCTTCATAAAAGGTAGAATAGATACGCTACGTACACGACCTTACCGCATGCTCTTAGCGAACGAGCTTTTGGGATACGATAAGTTTTAACAGTTTATATTGATCAGAACCTAACTAGTTTTTAACCCCACGAGGTGTGTTATAAGTTTCATCTGTGTATCTGTATGTCTGTCTGTGACATCATAGCTCCCGAACGAATGGACCAATTTCGATGCAGCTTTTGGATTTTATTCGAAAGCTGATGTGATGGAGATGATTTTGGCTACAAATTTTGCAGAACATCAGCTCACTTTCTAGACGATGAAGAGATCTCACTAAAATCCAAAGGTCTGATTGTCCTGAAATTTGGTATACTGTTAATTTGATGGTATTTCCAGGACATGGTAATCTGAAACTTGCAGCTGCATCAAGTATTCTGCGGGATAGCCAGACTCAGAAAATTACAGCATATATACCATGTTTGGACTTATTAGAAAAGTCTCAATGAGCTATCGTTGTGTTTTAAATTTTTTTTTGTATCGGAGGTTTTTTAATGATGCTAGTATTAATATGCGATATGCGACTGATCAAAATAAAATATAACTACACTCTAATACACCCGTATAAGTAATATCTCCCGCGCCTTCCATTGCCTTCCCTTATTACCTTTCTGTATTCTTCTAATATTAATGTTTCTGATAGTAATACCATACTCTCGATGGTAAAATCTCTGTGTTTAATATGTTTGATGATTGACAAGATAGATTGGTAGCTGATAAAACCCCCAATGTTAATGTTATCAATTTGAATGCCTGTAATTCGAATGAATATATTCTTGAAAAGTGATATCCTATTTGTATAGTTTATTGTTACATGAATAGCGTAAGCCTGAATAGCTTTAACTTTTTTGGGTATTTTTATAAATTTTGGGTTTACATAGTAATGTGAAAAGTATTTACATATGACAATCGAATAGAATAGGATCTCTATGTAATCGTTAACATGCTCAATAACCTTTTTTTTTAGGTTTGACGAACGTCAAGCGGAATGTAGTTTACCTGTTGAATATCTTGGATATGCACCTACAATCGCAGTGGTGGGAGCGCTAGCATGTACTTTGTTAGCCGCTGGTCATATCCTTGTGCGATGTCTTCCAGCCCAAGCTAGCTCATTCTTTATATTCAACGCGAATGAAGATAACAGACTCCGCATAGATCCTCTATTATGCCCACCCAAAAAATGTGACATGTACGATAGAAAAAGTCAGGAAAGTCTCTTTGATACCGGTATAATTAAAGTTCTTATATTTACTTTACCCTGACTTTACCCTCACATATACCAATTGCCACTCCAATACCTTTATCTGTGTATAATCTACTTTTAGAATTTATTAATATGATAGATTTGCACTTATAAAATACCTACTTATGTACATTGGGATAATTTTTGAGAATTACAACAGAGTAAAACAGAATGAAGCTGCTCGAAGCGTGGTGAGTGTTTAAGTGGGTATTTATGTTGTATATATCTGGCCAGACGGGTTGGTATAGACTACAGGGTTTGTGTCAAGTTTTCACTCTTTTTGCAGTACTGTGCATGTTAAAATATAACATGTACACAAATGTATGCGTACTTTTTCCGAAAAGCGTCTCTTAACTCAATGCTCAACACCTAACTCTCATTATGAACAATCTGCTCTTCATATCCTCTGGGAATGTAGTCTTTGGTATAATGAACGTAATATAATGCTGAGTAGCTTGCAGGTGACATCTGGGGCGGTATACTATGGAGATCTTGTGTCAACTAGGGTGAATTTCCGTGCGTTTAGGCGATTCTGCCATACATATTATAGAAATGAAATATAGCTCACGTAGGACCCGTAATATTTTTGTGGCCGTGGTGCTTCCCTGTTTAAAAGGGTGTATGCCAATTTTACTTCATTTTGTCTCCCGCTTTGCTAAGGGAAGTGGATTTACTGTATTTCCAACTCCTCCAATTTTCTTCTGATTAATTTCGTTGCGGGTTCCCAGACAGTTTAATTACTTCCTGGGACTTCTCGAGTGTCATAACTCGGTGTGTTCGTGGGTCACTGCTGTGGATCCTGGTGTACAGGAGTTACAGTGGTGGGCGTGTGGGTGGGATTAGTCCCAATAAAAAAAAGCGTCTCTTACAGGTCGTTTCAAGTACGTCATCGGATACGACTACAGATATTACAGATGAAAGTACATCTGCTTCACGCGTGAACTCGTCGAGCGTGGCAAACAAAAATAAATATTCTGAATCGGTATGGCATTAAATTATTTCGTTTCAATGTTTTCTAGTTATTTTATTTCTCTCATAGGTTGTTACACAATTCATTATGTACAGAACTAGATTCTCGATATCACGGTTCCTCACGACTGGAACATCATGTTTTATATACAACGATCTATGGTCATATATTCTGCTCATGGATCAATAGCCACCACTTAACATCTTAAGAGGCTAGCGTTAGACGACTGGATCAAGGAGCTGATGCAAAAGGCAGTTCTGGTCGACACGGCCGATATAAATAGGAGGTTTTGGACCTCCAACCACCAGTATCTAAAATTTCTGTAGTTACTTGGTGTAGTGTATTATTTTATAAATTTTGAATATAGATATTTGATTTTCGTTATTGTTTTTAAAAATGAATATAGTATTTGTTTTTAATAATTAAAATAATATTTATAAAGCAACACCTGCAGTCGGGTAGCTCCGATTGCGGAAAATATTTATATTATTTCACGTAGTAAAATATACAAATAATTCTATAACAAGTATTAAAACTCGCTATTACTTTACGTCTCAATACTGAAAAACTAACTAATAACATGTGACTGTTTTTAGGGAGCTGATACATCCAGACGAGAACCGATTGTACGAACAATGACTGCAAGAATTCAAGAAAAACTTCGCTCTGTCAGTGGTGGAAGGAAAATGCTAAAAGCGTCAATATTAAATCTTAAAATCGATGAACTATAGAATAACCTTAAACTAAAAGTCACCATGACCTCCAATTTTATATTCTTGATAAGCACTGACCGAAAAATATTTTGTTCCTGTTTTTCTTGTGCCCTGCAGTTCCTGTTTTTCTTATTTTCAAAACAAAGTACTTAAAAACAAAAAAAAAACCACTTAATATTTGTAAGAACTGAAGTTCGAATAACAATAAATAAGTACCTATTATGAAACTATGTGTTTGCCATATACATATGTGTAAATTAAAAAAAGTTGTTGCCTAAAAGGGCAAATCAACATTGTCTAAAAACAACTAGGCATACTTGGAAAATAAAGATGTTTATAAGGTAAACGGCCCTTAATTCGTGGTAGTGTTTTATTAGGTAAGCGAGTTTTTATTTCTGACCCAAAAATAAGCACTTAATTAATAAATGTTACTGACTTCAATTACAACTCAGTATTTTATATCTATTATTTGAAATGTCTATAAGAAGCACCGATGTTTTAATGTCAATAAACACACACACACATAAAACACAATCGCACAAGCTTTGCGATATGAGAACTGATTTGATATTAATAAGGGAGAGTTTATTGTGATATTTAAATAAATTTATACTCAGCACAAATCGGTTTTATGGAAAAGCGATAACTTTATTTTGCAAGTGACACGCCATGTTTGTGAGACACTTTTTATTGTGTGTGCATAATCACAAAGGAACATTAAAAGCTAAATTTGGTATTGATTTTCTACTATGTTTTTAAAAATTAGGTTTGGATGTGACGCATTTAACACAGTTAAGAAAGCGCGAAATCTGTAAACAACTATTAATTGTGTTGGTGAACAGTCAAGGACTTACAATAATCGTGTACTTATCATTTGTAATACCAATTATTGGATTAAAAAAGAAATATGAATCAATTTTGCTGGGATTAAGTATATCAAATTGAGGTAATAGTTGATTGTGCAAAACAAAAGATTAAATAAAACTCAGTATTATATAATTTTGTATTGATAAGTTGAATATACGTTTAGTTTTCTTGACGATCGGTGTCGCCACGTCAAGCCAAGGTTGAAAAAGTGAACGTTATATTGGTGAGATGCTGGTGGGTTGCTGAATTTGCCGTCATAGTTACTTAACGTTAGTGTTAAAAAGTATCTATACTTTTGGTGTCCCATTACCACCAAATCAGGATTTGACGATGGGATCAGAGAGAAATCGAGGGAAACTCTAAAATTGTACACCCGTCGGGGTGTTTTATAGCACAACATGTTTTATAGCTTTCTAGCTATATAGGGATTTGGTTAAATAGTCGTTTTGTTATGTTGCTGAGCTAATGATGAAAGGATCCTTGACCTTTAGGAGTTAGAGGATAACTCTTTCAAAAGTCTAATCATGTATTGGCCTTGTTTTATTCTTTCAAGATATTTGTTAGATGTTGTAAATTGTTTGTACCGCAATTATTTCCATGTTTGTTACCTCAAAACTCTTTCATTTGTAAACCGATTATGAAAATAATTATTATTGGAAAGGTATATTTCGCCTTTGGTTCCATTCAAAAGATTATTCATTATGAAGAAAAAATACCACTCCTAGTTTTGGCAAATTAAGTAATGTGGCAAACAATATATTTTCGGGTTCAAATGTAACAACTTACTACATTATCTAAATAAAGTAACGGACTGAGTAAACTTTACTTAATATACTCTAACATACAACAGTTTATTAATAAACATTACGGTACGTAGTGTTTTAAATTTCTTACTTACTCTGCTCAGTACAAACATATCTTACCCTAAAAATAGTAAAAAAATCCATTAAAAAAAAAGTTGAACCGACTTCAAACAATACTGACAAAGAACACTAAGAATTTAAAAATATTTACAAATCTAAGTAAAAAACTATAATAATGTTACGTGTTAAGGTTCGTTGATTCTGAATAATAAGCCTTCTGACAATAAAGAGACTTTTATTATAACTACACCTTAAGACGTTCACACAATACTCAATAATTGTCCATAATGATCGCCGAGGTCGCTGGTTACCACTTATATTCCACTTCCATCGCTTCGATGTTTATTTAGTTTGTTTATTAGTCCGAGGTTGTTCTAAACTGAACTCAACGAAGACGTGTCCGCATTTATAGTACTCGTTATGGAACATTCCAGCAATTTCCATTCCCGGCGTGAACCGTCGGCTTCCGAGATATACAAATTCGCTTCGAATGTAAACAAGACAGTGGCGCGACAAGTCATTTTTGAAACTATGCGTAATGGTATAGATCTTATTGTTCCGTGCCAACCTGCATAGTTAATCGAACTTTTATGACAATAAGTACCTACGCTCAATGTAACGGGTTACATTATAATAGCAATAGTCTCTTCTAGTCTGTTTGAAGTCGGTGCAAAGCCCGATGTACAATAAGTAATACCTGGTCTATGTCATCTTTACATTAGTACAATAAAGAATTAAGAATTCAATATTAATTTATTTCCACTTTTTGCACAAATGTGACAAAGGTGGACTTAATGCCCTTAGCATTTTCTTTCAATCAACCTCAGGGCTATGCAGAGCTAAAACACGGTAGATGCACATTTTTTTAAATATGAAAAAAAATAATTGAAAAATGAGATTTTATGAAAAATATAGCATATATCGCGGTGAGTGGGACAGTGAAGAACTAGGTTGCTTAAAGATCTAAGGGTTTTAGCGTGGTTTGCACCTAAATATTTAAGCTGACTAGTTAAGTAAGAAGGATAACTTGGAGAAAAGGGTAAAGAATATAGGGCAGTTAATGCCCGTGTCTCTCTGCGTTTGCGAATTCGAAGCCATTTCAAAAGGGAGCGATGCAGAAAGACGTGATCATATTTGCGTAAATTGAGGTAAGGTGGTCAAGCTTATTGAGTAGATCTGCATTCAGGTCGAAGGAAATATTAGAGTCTGAACAAGCATTACCTTAGTTTTCACTGGCAGAAAGTTCTTAAGCCTATAGAGGGCCCGCAACGAGCCTGTGACTTTCTGGCAAACAGATGCAACTTCCGCCAGCTAAAAGTCGTGTCAATATATGTTATAGTATGTATAGTATGTATGTAGTCCAAGGTCTTTCACGCTTTCACAGTATGGAATAACCATACCATCGTAGAAAAGAGGTGGAAATGTAGCAAGGTCACGACCTTGGCTCATACCACGGTTACTCTCAATGATAATGGCCTGACATTTGTTCGGATTTACCGATACGCCAAACATATCGGACCAATGTTTAAAGACCGCTGGCTCACTGTTTAGAATCGAAACCGCGGACAATATATTGCACAACTCTGTTTGGTAGTACAACTGGAAG